CCACGTGGATCTGTTCCTGACGTGTCGAGCATGGGGGATTATGCGAAGAGTGAGGCAGAAGACGAAGATGATGATGTAATGAGAAGAGAAAATAGGTAACCATGATTATTACACTTGAGCTACTTGAGCAAAGCCTGACCAGTTTAATTCAATATGTTCTTGCAGTCATTGTTCTCAGAGGAACCCGTCTACTTCCTCTTCAGCATCCTCCTATTTCTCGAACATGTTACGTAGAATGCCAAACGAAAATTCATCAGTGACTAGCGGACTTCCACCTTCCCCAAGTCGTCGTTCAGTTTCTGCGTTAACAAAGTCAAGCACTACGTATCACCATCCTGAAAATCAGGCTTCCGAAGTTGAGTGCGAAAACGTACTTGGTAAACAGGGAACATCTGGTGCGTGTGAAAATGGCAGTCGACTACCATTGTAATACATATTTTCTTTTTAAGTTTATAAAATAGCTTTCTACTTAGATGCTTAGTTTGTTACTGGTAAGAGTTACATTTCTTTTAACTTAATTTTTAAGGTATGAAAATATTGGTTACAAATCATGTGCGTCTTACAAGAGCACCTATCGACAAACTAATTTCCCCACACTCAACGTTAGTCTTTCAAACTCATTTGCCATATCCAAAACATGATTTGTAGTTTTTTAGGCGTTTTTTTAGTTTATTAGGATGGTTCATGATCGACGTTTAGTGGGCACATCTCGCTAGTTGTAGCGAGGGTTTAGGGCCGCGAGAGTTGTATGCAACATAGAATACCAAAAGCATTTTTAAAAAAAATGACTGGAAAAGAAAGTCCTTACACGCTAACTACCTATTTTAAAAAACTAGACCAAATAGCTAAGAAATATTGTTCATTGGAACTTCAGTCTGTAACTTTGTTTACAGTATTTGTGAATTGAAAGATATACATTTTCTAGTTAATTAAAATTTAAATTGCTAACCGCTTTTGATCACGATTTGCTTGTAGTGCGTATGTACTGGAAAAGTCTCATCTTTACCAGCTAAACCTTGTTTTTTT